GAATGGTGTTTGGTCGGAGATTTGCAATCTTTGTATTTCTGGTGACCCTCCATAGAACTGGTTGTCTTTGCCTGTTCGTTTTTACCCTTGCTTCTGGGAAGACGTGGCAACCAACGGTTTTGGGCCGTGTGCGTGGCTGCGTGGTTATCTGCTACTTTTCTGAGTAGCGAGGAACCTTAATTGTTGAGGAACTCTTGGGAAAGTATAGGTGGAGATAGAGGAGAGATTAGGTCGAGGCTAGAGGATGGGGAGATCTCAGCTTCTGAAGAGGAGTTTGCAGATTTTCCGGGATCTGCGAGGTTTGAAGAGATTGCGGCGCGTCCTGGCACAGATGATCGGGAGTGTCATTTGGAAGATGTCTGCTCCTGATAGGTGGGTTGGGGGATTCCGGGAGAGCATCATTGAGTACTTAGGCTTGTGTGAGCGATTACTCGGGACGCTGTATCGCTTGATCCTCGCTCCGATTGTGAAGAGGGAAAGGAGGGGATCTCGTATTTATAAAATAAGGGTGATTCCAACTACCAACAAAGCATTCCGTGACTTCGATCGCGTTTGCACGGTGTGTAGAGATACTCTTGGGAAGTTAGTAGGGCAGTTGTAAAACAAGGGAAGAAGATGGCCGCCATGCTAGGAATGGGAGTAGGAGGGCAGGGAATGACGGGAGTGGGAGTGGGAGGGCAGGGGATGTCGGGAGCACCCATTAGCTATCAAAATATGGGGAACCAGAGTCTGGCCCCCTCTGCCGTGGGTGGACAGAATGCAGTAACTCCGAACAGCGCTCCGGCCGCATCATTTGGCAGTGTGACTTGTTTTGTGTGTGGTAAGAACGGGCATTACGCCCGGAATTGTTGGCAAGCGACTAGCAAGCCAAGGTCGGATGACGATAGTACTGCGTAGCTATATCGCAGAATCAGATGAAGACAGTGAGGAAGTGAAGATTGAGGCCGACAAGCTTATCGAAGCGCTGGAAAGTCGGAAAAGAGGAAAGAGGAGCGCTGGCCGGCTCGGATAGCTAGTAGCCGCGTGGAGGAGAAAAAGAAGAGTCCAATCACTAGGAGAGGGAAGGCTAAGGTGGCCGAGGTAGCACAGAGTGCGGGGGGTTTTGAGACTCCTAAGAAGGTATGCCCAGCCGATTCATCGAGTGAGGGGTTAGTCGAGTATGCGTTGACGCAGGCCAAGCAGCTGAGTGCTTTGAAGGCGACTGACGTACGGAAGTTGTGCGATCGCGAGGGCGTCGACTACGTTGTTAAGGATCAAGCGGTACAGGAACTCGTGAGGTGTAGGACAAGGCTGGCGTATGAAGGTTTTTTCGAGCGCAACGAGAATGCTACACCTAATTCGAAGCGGGCAGATGAGACACTGAACGGACCATGAACGACGATGGGCAACTATCGTCGTCCACTGCCCTTGTACGCATAAGGGAGTTGATCTACAGAAGGAAGTTGAGAGAGGCTAGTAATGCGTTGCCACTGTTAGTCAAGGAAGAGGAGAATGAGCTTGCTTTACTGTTTGTACTTATAGCGGCGAGAGGGCATGTTCCTTGGTGTAAGAAGCTACTCAGGTTTGTTGATCCCTATCGGATTGATGTTAACCTTTCTGGGGTGTATGTGCTAGTAAGTCTGTGCTGTCGAAGGATGTACATCGGATGTACTGTGAGGACGATAGTGACTAGGTGGGCGGAGCACGTGAGATGCGCGACGTCGAGTAAGTGCGAGAATGCTCCGAAGCTTCATACATGGTTGCGTTTTTTTGGTTGGCGTAGCTATATTGCCCTGCCGTTGGTCACCAGCATACAGGATGGTCTGGATGTCGAGAATGCGCTTATTCGGAGGTTTTCGCCGTCCTTGAATACCATTGGACGTGTGAAGGAAGGTACCAAGAAACGTCGGCACAGGAAGAAGGTGAGTGTTGGGGATGCACACTACTCGGATGGCATTGTATTCTTTGAATACAATGGTTACAAGTACTCGTCCCTTTCGTTTCTACTAGACCAGATTGGGGACATTAGGCAGGAAGTTGATATTGGATCTGAGAAGGGTACGGTATGGATCAGTTCGTGGAAGCGGATCCGAGAGAAGTATGGAGAATCTGTGGTGGTGACGAATCTCACGAGGAAGAAATTACGAAGTGCCAAGAAGGAAATCGAGGCCGGGTGTAGGTTCAAGATTGTCCGTGTGGTGATCACGCCGACGGGAACACAACGGAACAAGAGATTCTTGAGAGACTTACTGGCGCAACCGTGGCGAATCAAGAAGCTGTATAAACTGACGAGCAAGAAGCTTGTTGCATTGTACAGGACCGCTGGACTTTTTTCAAAAGTTAAGACACGAAGTGCTCTTCGACTGAAGTTGGCTCGTATTCTAAAGATCAGGTTCGGAACGGAGATACGGAAGAGGGTGGTACTTAGAGTTCCGTTTTCCATGCAGATTGATCTGCGTGCGGTTAGGGACTTTCTAGTGAAGATCATCTCCTTGTCTGTTGATGACGAGTCACCTCGATCCCTTGTCGTAGAGCGGCTTAGAGTGGTCAGGTTGAAGAACAGGACGGTTGCTGACATTATCCATAACTACAGGCGATTTCTCGATGATAGGGATGAGGCATGTGTGTGCTCTGATTTTTGCCTCAGTCGGTTTCAAGGACACGTTCGTATCCGCTTGGATGAGGTAGAAGGTATTGATAGCTTCATCCACAACTCGCGCAACATCAAGTGTGGTAGAACTGTATCGAAATTTCAGCTGATCGAGAGGATTTATCGCTCCATTCCGAAAGGATGGAGAGGTAGTATGTTGCAGTTGACCGACGAGGAGACTGCTCGGTGTTTTAACACGCAGACGGAGAGAAAGGGTGGCGCGTTGACTGAGCAAGAGGTTCAGCGACAGGTTGGTTGTTTGCAAAGACTTGTTTGTGTTCCTCTTGACAGGAATCCGGGGGCGACCCTGGTCATTTGCCCAGTCTTGTACATGCACGCCTTTCGGAGGGCTTTCTGTTGGAGTGTCGGGTTCCAGTGCTTGCAGGAATCCGTATCACAGGTCTTATCAAGGTTGAAGCGAGCTTATCGGTTGGAGGGACTGGAGGTAGTTGCTGTCTGGCGGACATGCGGGAGGTTAGGTAGGGCATATATTATCCCTAAGGATAAGGACTATGCCCGTTGGCGACCTATCTCCCCGTCATGGTCTGAGCCGTCACGTACGGCTAGTGCCAGGCTCGGCCGTGCGCTGAGATACATGCTATTGTGCTTACCTTCCAGCTACCACTTCAATCTGAGGTCCACAGATGAACTGAGGGCCGCACTGTGTAAAGGGGTTACGAGACAGGGGCACCTGGGAGATACGATCCTCGCGCGAAGTTACGACATCAAAGATATGTTTGCAAAACTTCCGCATGAGGAGATCATGGCATCGGTGGTTTGGCTCGTGCAGTCACACGAGAGAAGAGGGTTGGCAGCGGTGAAAGTAAGTGTTCGGGGCAAGATCTGCAAGATGGCTCGGACTGAGCGCAAGGAAGAAGGATACCTATGCTTGCCCTTTGGAAAACTGATAGCGGTACTGAAGTACGAACTCGGGCACACATTCACAGTGTGTGATGGCCGAGTGACCAACAAGTGTTCGGTATCCCAATGGGTAAACATTCGTCCCCTTCGCTTGCCAATGTGCTGTGTACGAAGGCTGAGTACCAGTTCCTTACTAGCCTGGGGAATGATCGACGGCTTGTTTTTGGTGTTAGGATGGTAGACGATGTTTCAGTCCTCGTGGCATGTTCGAAGGTTGGTAGGAGTTTTCGAAATGTTGAGCAGATTTTTGACGACTTCGTAGATTCCTACCCACCGGCGCTCGAGCTGGTCCGCAAAGACGAAGGAAAGAACGTCTGGGATTTCCTGGGGAATAGAGTGTTTTTGATTCCTGAGCCGCCCGAAGTGCATGTGCACCCTACAACTAAGAATCAGGTATGGTTGGCCAGTAAAGGAGAGCTGCATTATCATTCCACGCAGGATTATAGATCCTACTCATCCAAGAAGATTAAAAGGATGACCTTGACGGCATCCATGTTGAGGCTTTGGAGATCGGCAACGGATGAGCGAGCAGCAGGAGCATCCATATTATGTTTGGTGAAGGAATCTCGCCTCCGGGGACATCCCCCGGAGGTCTTCTTCGGTTCCTTGGCTAGGTTTGCCAAGGTGGTGGGAGGTCCCTGGGGATCTTGGATCTCGCAGGTTT